TTTATTGTCCAGCTGTCTCGAGCACATGCGGCAACTGGAGCTCAAGTGCACCTGAGTCCTCCAGGTGATGGCTGAAAGAATACAGACGTGCTTTCATTGTGCTGGCAGTCTTGTGCTTGATTAAAACAAGAATCAAGACAATGTATTTAACCACTTGTAAGTTCTGACTTTCTACTCAAGCTACATGGCTTAACTAATCCTCTAACGAGACTATAAAATCTCAAATCAGGGCCTGTCTGGAGCTCTGCGGCGGCGGCAGTGCGGCGCGGGCACCGTCCCTGGGAGTGGCATTAAGAAAAAAAAAAAAAAAGAAAAAAAAATCTCAAATCACACACATACACTTGCTCTCACATATGTATGAAATACTATTTGAATACATGTGACATGTAAATTGACATTAAATCCCAGGAGACGGGATCAGAAATCCATTTTTGCAAGTTAGCATCAATTACTTGAGTTGCATTGGTAGCAAGAGAGAAGATAAATTATCATTTCATTAAGTTCACGATTTGGACCATTCATGTTGATATTACTGCTGCTAGGTTAATCTATGACTTTATTTTCTGTAGAAAACTGGGTTTTCAAATATAAAAAAGCTACATAAATGGGAGAGAGCGTCATTTGTTCTCTGCACATACACTTTTCACTTCTGTCTGAGGAAGCCCCATTTGTACCACGGCTTTCACATGTTCTTGACGAGAAAGTGAGTGTTGAAGGAGAAACAGATGCTTTCTATTAAGACGAATTGTACATGGGCTGGCTCTAAGGCCAAGTGTGGTGCTCGCTATGGAAACCAAAGCCAAGGCATCGAAGCATATTTTTCTTTCAAAATATTTTATGTACCAACGTTTGCACATGTTGGCAATGACAGTAAGTCTGTGTAAGGAGGTGTTTTGTGTTTCACAGTTAACATAAGGGCAAAGATTGTGGCAACAGCCAAATATTAACTTAATTGTGACTTGAAAGAATGTATAGAGTGGTATGCATTCTCGTGAGGCTCATGGGGCAGAAGCTGTGAGGTTAAAAAAATCTTCTAAAAAATTCCAAAAGGGAGACATAATGACATTTTCTTGGCAGTTAGACTCTTTATAAAATTTGGAGGAGGGTTGTTTTCCAGAGTTCTCTGGCAATTATTTTGGTAAAATTGTTCACCGATTCTGCCAGCATTGAGCATTTTGTCTGACTCTTTTTCTTTCTCTTCATTTTTTTTGTCTTCCAAATAATTTTTAGTCCTCAGAACACAGAAATGTGCATAGCACGTAGTAGGCAGTGAAATTTGTCAAATGCATTGACAAATACAATGAGTGAGCTGATGCTTGAATCATTACAATTGACATCAGGAGATATTTTGATCCCAAAACAAAGATTGAGGTGTTTGAATTTAAAGCATTGACTTTCTACTCCATCTCCATAGCTTAACTAGTAATCTAAAGAAAAGAATTTTAAAATTGAAGATCAGTGGAGACATACCTACTCAGAGACAGTGAAATGCTTCCATTATTCTACTGTTTAACAGAAATTATATATTTCTTTTACTTTCATCACTTCGGGTGAGTGTGTATGTGGTGCGTGTATCGTATCTTGCTAGAAAAATGGCAAGCTGGTAGTATCCAACTCATTTACCTATGTGGGCCAGCCCAGTAATAGAAATGGAAGTGAATGGCCCAGAGTATAATCTGGTCAGCTGGGTCACAGGATCAAGCATGCCACCTATGCAAGCCATTTATACTTAAGATGTTAGTTCTTTTGTAAAAGACAATTGTATCTAAAACACTTCTGTCATGTGTGTGTGTGTGTGTGTGTGTGTGTGTGTGTGTGTGTGTGTGTGTGTGTAATGTTGTTGCATACCATCAAGTTAGAACTGACCCCTCACTGACCATCCAGCAGTTTTTCAGAGGCAATTAATAACCTAGGAAGAGATTTCCCATCTTTCTCCTGTGGTAGAGCCACTGGTAGATTTGAACTCTCTCCCTTTGAGACTGTAGCAGTTTCATGCCACTAGGCCACCTGAGCTGAAAAAAAAAAAAATTGAGTAACAAAAATGTATCTAGTACCTAATAAGAAACTTGCACTATCCTAAATGACAACTTATTAATAAAATTCCCTTCATTTTAAGAACTAGGAAATTCGGAAGGAGTTCTTAGTGAATTATTGCAGATTAAAGTTCTTAATCAATTATTGCAGGTTGAAGTTCTTAGTCAATTATTGCAGGTTGCTTGCTTGTGCTGCTCTTAAAGAAGGTCTCTGGCAGAGCAAATTCTTTGGGCTCACCTACTAACCTAAAAAATTGGAAATAGAATTTACTCAGTGGTACCATATGGGAAAGAGCTGGCAAGCAGCTTCTGTAAATATTAGAGCCAAGAAAACCCAAGAACAGTTGTGCTATAACACGTGGGGTCTCCAGCAGTCAAAATCAACTGGAAAGCAAACATTTACACATAAGGAAAGAGAAATTTAAAGAGAGAAGAGGAAAGACTAAAGCATACTAGCTCTACACTGAGCCCTAGTCACAACCAAGATGCTCATTCCCAAAAAGACCACTGCTTTGAGCATATCGCACCCATCTTCTGCCCCTCCAGAAGGAAGGAAGGATGAGTGTTTCCCTGAGTTCGTTACCAGCTGACTGAGACTATTTTCTTTCGGAGAGTAGTGTTCATACAGAGCAGCATTCTTCAATCTGCAAGATCTGTTTGCTTAATGATAAACAACGAAACAAATTCTTGAGTTGAAATTACTGAAAATTACGAGCCATTGTTAGACTCTTATCAACTTTGTCTGCGCACTCATTGCAACTCATTGCTGTTGAGTCACAGCAGATTCCTAGTTACCCCTCCAGTGAGTTTTCAGACATTATAAATTGCACAAGAGGAGATTAGAGCCACTGTTGGAACCACTAGCGGCTCTGCCTTTGGGGAGGTAGCACTACTTCCTCTGGATCACTGTCCCACCAGAGATTCCCCACCCTGTATACAACAAGCCAGATGAAGCATCAGATTCCTTGCCTCCAAGGAGCAACCTGGCTTCATCCTCTCTAGGATGAGCCTGTTTGTTCTCCTGGCAGTCCATGGTATACTCAGGACTCTTCTCCAGCACCACAGCTCAAAGACATCAATTCTCTTTCTATCATCCTAGTCACTATCCAGCTCCTCCCTGACGCATAGCAAGCAATTGAAAAGACTGTGGCCTGCATCAGGCGCACCTTAGTCTCCAGACTGACATTATTGCCATTCAGTTATCTGGAAACTACCCTGAGGGCTGATTTTCTCAATACAATCCATCTCTTGATTTCCTGGCTCCTGGTACCAAAAGTGTTGATTGTGGAGCCAAGCAAACTAAAACTGTTAACAATCTCAATCTCTTCACCATCTATCATGATGCTGCCAGTCATCCCAGTAGTGAGAGTCTTTGTTTTCTTGATGTTGAGCTCCAATCCATATTGAAGGCTTCAGTCCTTGACCTTCTGCAGCAATTGCTTCAGGTCCTCCTCAGTTCCAGCAGGGTTGTGTCATCTGCACAAAGCAGGATGTGATGAGTCTTCCTCCAGTCCTGCGGCATTCCTTCTCATAGAGCTCAGCCTCCTGGATAATCTGTTCTGCATATAAGATTGAAAAGGTATGGAGACAGAATACATACCTGGCATACAGTATACCCTTCCTGATTTTGAACCATGCAGTGTTTCCTTGCTTTGTTCTAATGACTGCCTCCTTATCCAAGTATAGATATTACATAAGCACAATCAAGTGTTCTGGGATTCCCATTCTTCTCAGAGTTAGCCACAGTTTGTTATGATCCACACAGTCAAATGCCTTTGCATAGTCAATGAAACACAGAAATTCCTCTGATACTCCCTGCTTTCAGACAAGATCCATCTAACATTATGTATTCTTTACATATAAACATTTTCTCCTGTGCTAACTGCTTCTGAAAACCAACTGGAGGGTCAACAACTCACTTAACTGGGTGATAAATTCTCCAAGGTGACTAACATGTTTTCTAGTCTTCTATAATGCCAAAAGTGCCCAACACAAACCTGGGCATATCATGGAGGAATAGTGAACATAATCGACTTGTTTTAGCTTTATGCCCTGCAGAATCCTGCTGTGTCAATGCGAAAGATTGGTAGAGATTTAAGATTAGAAAATAATTCATGAATATTATTAGTATTTAATACATAATATACATTTTTAATTGGCACTTTCTCATTGTCAGTTGATTGACTGCTTATTTACTGGTTAATGAACCAAAATTCCTGCTTTGTTGACTGTTGTTGTTGTGTACTGTTGAGTCAGAATTGACCCACCGCTGACCCTCCAGTGGGTTTTCTGAGGCAATTAATCACACAGAAGGAGACTGCTCATCCTTCTGTGGAGCAGCTGGTGGATTTGAACTCCATGCCTTATGTGATTGCAGTGCAGTGTCTAACCACTAGGCCACCAGAGCTCCCTGACTAGGAAACAAAATTAACAAGATCCTGAAAAGTGAAGTTCCTTCTAAGTTTCAAAGTGTTTATAAAACAAACTTTCACAGACTTTTCAGCTTTCACATTACAGAGAGCTGGAGGAAATGGTTCTCTTGTCTAAACTGGTTACTCAACTTTTAAAAACATCAGTTGAAACAATTTTTAGTTTAGGCTCAGGAGTGACATGTGCTAACTTCAGAAAAATGATGGATTTGTTATTCTATAATGTGTCTGTCCTGAGCTATGAGGAGTTTGCTGTATGCTTTTAGGGTAGTCCTTCATGTGTTTTCCCCTAAGGTCTCAAGCTGTGTCCTGGAATGTGGCAGCATCCAGCACCATGCCCAGTGCCCTAACGTCATTGAAAATGGCAACATAACTCTGCACATTGTGACTGTGATTCCCTGAGCTCCTCTTTGTTAAACATGCGTGATCTTTAACAAGATAAAAAATATTTGGAATCTCAACTTGATGCTCTTTTATTGCTGCAATTTTGTTGCTGTTGAAATTCACAGTCAATGTCTCTCGTCCTTCTCTTCTTTAGGATCAGCACTCTGTGGTGGGTCAGAACACCGGCCCCAGTCCAAGTCCCAACTCCTGCTCAAATCCAAACACTGGAAGTGGTTACATGAACTCCCAGCAATCACTGTTGAATCAACAACTGATGGGAAAGAAACAGACTCTTCAGAGGCAGATGATGGAGCAGAAGCAGCAACTTCTTCTCCAGCAACAGATGCTGGTTGATGCGGTAAATCTTTCCCCTCCACTGCACATAGCTGTTAGTCCAGCAGAGGGACTTAATTCTCTCTTCTATTCACATTTCCTGCCCTTTCCCTGTACCTGCTTTTGTGGCAGCAGGAAGTGTGTCATGGTTATTGTTGTTGGTGTTAGGTGCCGTCAGTCAAGTACTGACTCATTGCAACCCAGTGAACAGCAGATCTGAATGCTGGCCTATCCCTGCCCGTCCTCACCATAACTGATACACTAGGGCCAATTGCTGCAGTTACCATGCCGATCCAATCTGCCTCTCTTTCACTGACCCTCCACCTTCCAAGCATGATTGTCCCTTTACAAGAAATACTCTCTCCTTGCAAGGATGGCAAAGCCAGATATAGTGATAATTTTCATCATAATGCTCCTGATTTCTATCTTCAGTGAGGATATTATCATAATTTCACTTGATAAAAACTGTGGTGAGAGAAGTTTTTCTATCTCGCTGGGGAATGTAGAGGGTCAGTGGGAAGAGGAAATCTGCAGCAGAACGAACTGACACAGAGATGGCAACAACAGGCTGGTACATGGCAGAGACCATGAGGATGGCATAGAACAGGGCGAGGCTGCAGTCTGCTGCTCACAGGGTCAGCATGAATGTAATAATAACACATAACAACATATCTTTAATTACACAAGGGCACATAACAGAAACACTGAAGCTAAATTATAAATATTGAGCATAAGTTTTACAAATATTTTCCTGAGAAAACTGGATTAATATTTAAAATATAAATGAGAAACTGATTTTTCTCTTTTGAAAGGCTTTGGAACAGTTCTGGCCTTTTCAAAGAACCCTGGTGGAATCATCTTGGGCTATTATTTGAAAAGCTACACATCCTTGCCTACAAGGAGCACTCTGGCTGCACCTTTTCCAAGACATACCTGTTTGTTCTTTTGGCAGTCTGTGGGATATTCAGTACTTTGTCTCCAACACCACAGCTCAAAGGCATTAATTCTTCTCTGTCATCCTTATTCATGCCCAGCTCTCAGATACATGGCAAGTGATTAAAAAGACAATGGCCTGAATCAATAATATCAGTGAAGCTAATTCCATACATGTAAAGTGTTACAGGTGGGAGATGGAGGACCAAATCAATTTGATAGAGAGCTCTAGTGGTTTACTGGTAAGATGTTGCCCTGCGAATGCAAAGGCAAGTGGTTTGAATCCACCAGCTTGCTGCTCCACCAGAGAAAGATGGGCGGTCTCCTCCTGAGTGATTTATAGCCTCTGAAAACCTGCTAGAGGGTCAGATGCAAGTCGGTTCCGACTTGACAGCACATAGCAACAACAACTTGATTTACCAGCTGCTGGCTGCTTGGAATGTTTAGCACCTCAATTCACTAGCCCTGCCCAGCCCAAGAATGGCTTGAACCACCAATGCCTTGTTCTAGCAAAAGAAACTGGTAACTAGTATTCTTTCCCCAGCCCTGAGAAAAGACCAAAATAATAGTGGGTAGAAATTCTTCTTGGTTTTTTTTAAATTGTGGTTTGAGTGAAAGTTTAGAAAGCATGTTAGTTTTTCATGGAACCAAGACAAAGATTCTCGCCACTGGACCAATTGGCAGCGTCAGGATGGATGACGAAGAGATTGAGAGTGTTCTTGATTGGTTCCACTATCAACATTCAGCACCAGCAGTCAGGAAATCAAAAAGCGTATCGCGATGGGAAAGTCTGCCATTAGGGACCTCTCAAAGGTACTCAGGAGCAACAGTGTCTCTCTGGAGACTAAGGTGCGCCTGATACAGGCCATGGTATTTGCAATCGCTTGTTATGCATCAGAGAGTTGGACAATGACTAGGGAGGACAGAAGGAGAGTGGATGCTTTTGAGCTGTAGTGCTGGAGAAGGGTACTGAATATACCATGGACTGCCAGGAAAACAAACAGATTCATCTTGGAGAGGATTAAACCAAGCTGCTCCTTGGAGGCAAGGATTCTGGGGCTTCGTCTGACATACTTTGGACATGTTGCCAGGAGGGACGGGTCCTTGGAGAGGGACATCATGCTTGGGAGGGTGGAGGGACAGCGCAGGAGGGGAAGACCCTCTATGAGATGGATTGATTCAGTGACTGGGGTAATCGGGATGAGTGTGTCAGAGGTGGTGCGGTTGACGCAGGATAGAGCAGGGTTTAGAGCTGTTGTGCATAGGGTCGCTATGAGTCGGAAACGACTCGATTGCACATAACAACAACATATCAATTGCAATACCCATTATGTAACTGTACTTTCCCCATTTCCTCCTTGTATTTCTCATTTGCTTTAATTGTTGTTAGTCGCTCTTAAATAGATTGCAATTCATTTGTGCAAAGTAGAACTGCTCCATGAGGTTTTCAAAGCTGTGGTCTTTAAGAAGCAGGATAGCCAGAGCTTTCTCAGGTGCCTCAAACTTGCAGGAAGTAGTTGAGTCCTACTCCAACTGCATCATCCATGGACCCTCCTCAAAGAAACAGACAGTTGTAAAGCATTGGACTGAATGGTGTGATGTAGGAATACTGGGTATTCACAAAACACTTATGGTAGGCAACTAACTCAGACTGAGAATGGGGAGTTGGCCCAGAGGGAACAGAGAGAAGTTGTTAGAAATGAGAAGGGAAGTTATTTCCTCCAAAGGTCAGAAGGCGAGATGGGAGACAAGGGAAGAAGATGGGGACAGCCCCAGTCATAAGAACAGTGTATTAAAAACCTTGGAAAACAGTAGAGGGTATCTGTCACATCTGTCAAGGCATAGATTGTGCAGAGGGATGAAGACGCAATGGACAAAAAGCTAGAAATGAGAGTGAGAAGATGGAGCTTGAGAAACCAAAGTTCACAGTATCTGGAAAAGAATTATTTTTTAAAAAGGAATGCTAGATTTGCATCATGATAAAGATATAAACAGAGTAAGGGAATGTGAAATGGAAGATATTAAGTCCAGTTTAGAATGATTGGGGATAGTTTCCCAGAAGAGGTAAAATTTTACTTCAAAGATCTGACCAATTCAGCTGGGGCAAGCAAGTGGGTCTACGAGTTCTTGTGAAAAGTTGACCAGAAGCAAAAAAGTTTTATGGAGTTCTGGGTACCACGTACTGTTTAGTTTGAGATTCTATTATAAAATAGTTAATATATAAAATAGAAATAATAATAATAATAATATAGTAGCTGCATATGTGTTACAGGGAATGATAAAATCCGTTTAGAATCCAGACCATATGAGAAAGAAACTTACTTGATCTTAAATAAGAAATAGTGAGAAGGAGGTTTTCAGATGACCTTGAGAATATGTGACACAGCCATTGATTGGGTTGGCAAATGGCATACCTGGTTTATTCTGCAAATAGTAGGATTTAAAATTCATGTCCTCTTCCCCATTCCACTCTTTTATAAACAAATAACTTAGAGAAGAGTATACAATTGACTCACACTTTCATTGTTGTTGTTGTTGTTAGGTGCCATCAAGTTGAGTATGAAGCATAGCAACCCTGTGAACAGCAGACCTGAGCCCTGTCCTACCCTGTGCCATCCTCACAATCTGTGACACACTCCAGCCCAATGCACTTTAATTAATCCCCAAAATATCCCTTATTTGATAGCATACAAAGGTTGGATTTCTGTATTTTCAGCTTTGAAAGGAAAAGGCAAGAAATGGTAGTAGATACAATCCATGAGGGCCTCGACCGAGCACGGGCCTGACTCGCCGAGTCCCAGTTGAGTCACCACTGGGCCAGGTGTGAAGGGCAGTGACACAGGCTGTAGAGAGGAATGAGAATGAGACTGCTGTGTTGGTGATTTTTAGAAACCATTCACATTTCTCTTTGTTTGGACACTATTGAGGGTGTCTGTACTTTTTAGCATATCCAGGAAGAAACAGTCTTTGATACCACTTTACATTAGCATATGCTTTGTAGTCACTTGCCGTCAGTTGGCAAGGCAAGATAGGAGCCTAAATTGAGACATTTTCTCATGAGAGTGTGTTTCCCTTACTCTCTGTTCGTACTTACTTCAATGGGCCTCACACTTACCAATGCACATTGTATATATACCTACTATGTCCCAGGCACCATGCTGAGTGTTTATAGGCATTGGTGATTTATCTTTATAATATAGTGATAAAGGAGGCCCTATAATTACTCACATTAAAATAGGGTAGATCATGCCTCTGAAAACTCTGTGAACTTTGATAAATGATGATAGGTATAGAAAGGCTTCAGGCCTTTTGTTCATAGGGTCACTATGAGGTGTGTTCCAGTTGATGACATTCAACAACAACATAACCAGGTAGTCCTCAGGCTACAAACATATGATCAGGGACAACTCATGCTTGCTCTTTAATGTGATATGAATTTGCCATCACTCTAGAGTGATTGAACCAACCCTTCCAAAATCCAAACCCATTGCCCTCAGGTCGGTTCTGACTCATAGAAACCCTGTAGTGAAATTTTCTCATAAAACTTTGGCAAGCAAACTTCCTCTTCTGTCTCTCCAGGAGCAACCAATGGGTTTGAACCACTCACCTTTTAGTTAGCAGCCCCACTCTTAATGCACTGAACCACCCCGGACTCCTGATTGAGCACTCAGCTTGCAACAGACTTAATCACAGTCGCCTTTACTTGCTGCATGTACAGCTTTTAAATCACTGAAAAAGCTTCAAGCCTTTTCTTGCACTAAACTCAAACTCACTGCCATCGAATCAGCTCCAACCCTCCATCAAGTTTCTGAGGCTGTAACTCATAGTGAGGGGAGGCTGCTTAGCTTTCTTCTAAGGAGCTTCTGGTGTGTTTGAACCATCAGAAGTGCACAAACTATGGGTTAATAGTTTAACTATGGAGGACATCAGAGCTCATCAGAGCTCCTTTGTGAGGCCAAATAAGAGCTATATGTACCTGGCCCAGTTTACCTAAAAATCCCTAAAAACACAGGAGTACATCCTACTCATTATGTAGGAATTGCCCCTTTCATAGTGGATGATTTCTCTGTTAGGGTCCAGATCCGAAGTAATGAGTTATCATGAGACATTAAATGAGAAATTAAATTTTATGTTACAGAGAAGTAATCACAGAAATAGACTGAACTCACAGTGGGTAGAAGGAAGTGTTATTCTCTTGCAAAATGTAGATGTCTCTGTTCAGTATTGAATGGACTCTTCAGGACTAAGGCGTAGCTTGACATTTCTATGACATGTTCATAAGGAAGGTACTTGAACCTAGCTCATTATGAATGAGTAGTCCACGAAACTCAAGCTCAAGTTTTCAAGAATGATTATGTTAACTCTTCAAAGAACCTAATTTAGCCCATGCCGGGGGAGGGGGGGATCATATCATATTTAGACTGAATAGACAGATAATTCTAGGTTTGAAATCTAGTCTGTGATAGGGAACCAAAGCCTCAAATATCACAACCACTCCCATCAATTTCTTCAATATAAACAGCAGAAATACCTAATTACATAAGGAAATGTGATTGATCAATGCTTTAAGACAAGAGAAAACCCCACATCTGGCAAGCAAATCAGAATTGTCAGGCACATACGATAGTTTATAGCAAGAATAGTTGTCTATCACCACACTGGGCTCCGTGGAACATCTCAAGCTGTTTCTTAAACAGTTAGGGCTTGAGTAAAACCAAAAGAGAGCTTTGCCAACCACTTTCCCCCCCTCTTAATTTGTGAACTCGTGTTTAAAGATATGTAATCCATATGTTTGAGATTCATTTACACTTAACTCATCAAAATTGTGTCTTACGTGAATTATTTGTTGTTGAAAACACTTTGTGAGGGTTTTAACGTTTTCCTTTTTGTTTTTTCTTTTTCTTAGAAACAAGGATGTGAATTTAGTTTGTTACTGTTATAAGGGTTTTTTCCCTCTTCTAGGAGACGGACTCCACTCAGCGGGTTTGGAGTTGGCAAATCAGGGGTTGATATGAATTTCTAAGTCAGGCAGTCCTCATTTGGTTTCCATCTCATTTACTCATCTACTATGCACTGCAAAGTTTTGTTTTTCTATTTATTGATCCTCCCATAATTTTGTTATTCTCTGTCCATCTGCACCAATTATTTGAATCTTTGGAAATGGACCATTAGGCTGCATCCAAAGTTGCAGTGAAACCATCCCAGAGCCTGCTATATCCTCACTGAGAAAGAGAAGGAGACAGTCGCTGGTGTCCAGAGCTGCTCTGACACCACACTCAGGCCACGCTTGTTCTCTGTTGGGCTCACACAATCTCACACATCAGCCTCAGGCAGGGTTACTCTGTGACCAGGATAAAATGAAACGAAATAAGGCCACTTCATCATCTTGTCTAAAAACAGACACAGACAAGGTCACTGCACAACCCACAGAATAAATACCAAGCATTCCCCATCTGGCTAAGTGACCGACTGCTTCTTCATTACCTCACTTTCCAACAGCTTTCACACTAGAACAACCCCCACATAGACCCTCCCAGAAGGAGGACTCAATCAGCACCCAAGTCCCTTAGTGGGTTCTTTCTGTCCCTCTCCTAACGGGATAACCCCTGGTTTCCTATGAGATGTGTTCCTCAGTGAACATGTTCTTGGTGGTATTTAGCTGGGAAGTTGAAAAGGATTATTTAAAAAAAAAAAAAAGGAATAAAAGAAATGCCTTGACTTCTTCTCTTCCTTTCTTACCCATTCTGAAGATCTAAAAGTGACTTACTCAAAAAGGGGAGAAGGAAGGAGTACCTGGGGAATGTCTACACTTTTAAAAAGGGCTACTAGAGAGCCCGAGTTTGCAGTTCAAAGCCTGTGTTTGAGATCAGAATAGAGATTTGATCTCAGTTTTACCATTGTGTGATCCTCAGCAAGTTGCTTAACCCAGGAGCTTCCATTACTTCATTTACTTGGTGAGACCAATAATTTCTACCTTGGAGGATTACTTATGCAGGGAAAGAATGAGGTAGTGGGCATAATTTCCAGGTTAATGCTTAATAGGCTATCACCCGGTATCTCCTCCATGTAGGGTTGCCAGATACAGCAAATAAAATGCAAGATTCCCAGACTACCATATTTTATCCGAAACTTCTTGGGGCCAGAAGTATATATAAGTGCCTAAGTCCTGGGGAGTGCAAACAGCTAAATGCTTGACTGCTAACTAAAAAGTTGGCAACGGAGGGATCTTAAAAGAAAGATCTGGTGATTTACTTATGGAAAACCAGCCCCTGAAAGCTCTGTGTCATTGAAAGCTCTGTGGAGCATGGTGTTCTCTCACGCACACTTACGATGCCATAAGTCAAAGTCAGCTCCATGGTGATTGGTTCTTACCGAATCACGTGAGATGTGCTGTAACCCAAAACTAAAAATGCCTTGTCTAAAATCTCAGAAATATCATTCTCATTGAAAGCAAATTGCATAAATCAGGAATTCAGGGTGATACTAGAGCCAAGAAACCATATTGAATGTTCAAAAGTAGAAATCAGACTTCCATGTAGTTATTGAAATGGAAAACCTTTGTTTCTGAATTAAGACTGCTAAATAAGGTCCATAATAGGCAAACTATCATTATTCTTATAGGTTTATTCTCTTGAATAAAAAGCCAAAAAATTTCAAAAAGTGAGAAGGTAGCCATCTCTGGTTCATTGTGTTTTCATTTCTTTTTTTCAAGGAGAAAATGACTCCACAAGATCAGATCAACAGACACTTGACAAGGCCACCTCCAGATTATAAAGACCAAAGAAGAAATGTGGGCAACATGCAGGCAACTGCTCAGTATTCTGGTAAGCTTTTTAAACTGGGAGTCATAGCTATTAAAATTGGAAAATTATTCCACTTTAGTATTTCCTCCTTGCCTCATATCATATCTGAGGCAACTTCTTTATTAGTTCCTTGCACTAATTTGATTTACAGATAAAATCCAGAATTGAATATATTTTTAGTTTTCAGTTCTTCTTGATTTTTCTTGCCCTCATTCTTATTCTGAAGCTTATTCTTGCCCCAGAAAGCATGCTTTACTACTTTCTGACTCAACTAAGAGAATTCAAAAACAGCTGAATAATAACTTAAGACTACTAGGTGGACAGTGAATACAGATGACAGAAGAAGAATTGATGCCTTTGCACTGTCGTGTCGGAGAAGAGTACTGAATATCTCATAGGCTGCCAAAGAATGAACAGATATGTCTTGGAGAAAATGTAGCCAGAGTGCTCCTTGGAAGCAAGGATGGTGAAGCTTTGTTTCAAATACTTTGGGCATATTGTTAGGAGAGGCTATTCCTTGGAAAGGGACATCACACTTGTAAAAGTGGAGATCAACAAAGGAGAGAGAGACCCCTAATGAGATGCATTGATACAGTGATTGCAGCAGTGGGCTCAAGCGTATCAGAAATGACGAGGATGGCGGAGGACGGGACAGGGTTCAGATCTATTGTTCGTAGTGTCACCATGAATTGTACGTGGCACTGAACAACAGCAACAGGTTTTCAACCATTTTCTCCCAACAACATATCTAGACAAAGGTAATGTTAAAGGAGCAGACATTTGTCTCTCTTTGACAAAGTCACAATTTTTTTAAGAGTTGAGGTTACTCATGGGTAACTCTCCAGTGGGTTTTTAAAAAATTCATTTTAATGTAAGTTTACAGAGACTTAGGGTTTCCAGTCATTCATTGTTGTACTTTTCTCCCTATCCACCCCCTGCCCCCTCAATTCCCTCTTCTCCTTGAAAAGAAAAAGAAAAACTTATGCAATCCCTCCCTCCAAGTCCACTCCACTATGCAGCCTTCGCTCTGGACTCCTGTAATGACAAGAATACCCATTCATATGTTCCTTTTAAACAGTTCTCTTCCTCATCTGTTTCAATGCAGTTTATATCATTCCTCCCCTCCTTCTCTCAACCTTGATGTCAGTCACATTTTACAACAGTGGCCCTATGCAATAGTTGTCCTTTTGTGACTGAGATATTTCACTGATCACAATGTCCTCCAGGGTCATCCATTTTGCATTATATTTTTGCATTGTTTTTCAATGCAGCATAGTATTCCAGTGTGTGAATATATCAGAGCTTCTCTATCCATTCATTTGTTGATGGGCACGTGGGTTGTTTCCACCTCTTTGCTATTGCGAACAAAGCCACAATAAACATGGGTGTGCATATATCTGCTTGGGTGAAAGTTATGTTTTCTTTAGGGTATATTCCCAGTAGTGGAATTGCTGGGTCAAATGGTATTTCTATTTGCAACTTTTTGAGAAAGCTCCATACAGCCTTCCATAGTGGTTGCACCATTTTACACTCCTACCAACAGTGAATAAGGGTTTCAGTTTCGCAACAACCTCGCCAGCATTTGTTGTTTGCTGTCACATTAAATTTTCCTATTCTTACTGATTTGCATCTCTCTTAATGCTAGGAATTTTGAACATTTCTTCATGTGCTTGTTGGCCATCTGAATGTCTCCTTTGGTGAAGTCTCTGTTCATATTCTGTGCCCAATTTTCAATTGGATTATTTACTTCTATCTTGTTGTGGTGGACAAAGTCACGTTTTTAATTTAAAGTCCAGGGTTTGGTTTTGTTTTTTACCTCTTTTGGGTTTTGTCGCTCCAGGGTATCTCCTTTAAAGACAAATAGTCTAGTCACTGAGAAGGCATGGAGAAGCAAATGAGGTCTTTATGAAACCTGTCAAAAGTACCAAGCACACTCACTCACTGCTGTCGAGTCAGAACCGCTCATAGCTGACCCACTATGGGGTTTCTACAGCTGTAAATCACACAAGAAGAGATTGAGCATCTGTCTTCCTTAGAGATTTGAACTGAAAGAGAGGTGTGGCCTTTGTTTTAGCAGCCAACTCCCTACAGACTACACCACCAGAGCTCCCTAAAAATACCAATGGTGGATTCCATGGTAAAAGCAACAAAGCTTCTTACTACCTCTTCCTACATAAAATAGTCAGTAAGCACTCCTTTGACGCCAGAAATCTCTTTCCTTCCTTCCCTTCCCTCTCTGAACTCCAAAAGAACCTTTCTCAAACTGAATCTCTGCTATTCCTACCTTCTCCTGTTTGGGTTCTGGCCAGATCTCTTGTGCCCAGAACTCCTGGCACTTGCTATGTAAATGTAGTTTATTCTCTTGGGTTTCCCAAGTTCTCTCTCTGTCTTACTTGTTACCCTTTACTGTCCAGAAAGCCATAAAGATTCTCTTTAAGGGAGAGGTTGCATATGTTCCATTTGTTAATATGTTCTGGTCCTGTTAAACGTAGTTGTAACACACACGTTCCCACTGCTGTCCAAGAGTCGAGTATTCCTATGAAACCTTTCATAAGCCAAAAAAGCAATTACCACTAGTGTATATGGGGAAAGTTTTTGAGTGTTCTCTGACTAAAAAGAAAAAAAAATCTGCCAAATCATACCCATAACACATAAAACCTAAAATAGCACTAGCTTAGAGTGTTCACTGACATGGTTCAAAGTGATGGTGGCTTGATGCTGAATGCAGTTTCCTAGAGAAAGAGCTGAGGACGCCCACTCTTGCTGCTTGTGGGGTGTGTGGCTCCTTAAACACCACTGCAAAGAAATATTGAACACAGTTTTCACTTTTCAACTTACTTCATATTTGAATTTCAGTTAGCAAAAACAGATACTAATGCAGAATTTTGTAAAACTGAAGTGACATAAAGAGAACTTTCAAATAATTGTTGTTGTTGTTGTTGTATGAGCCAAAGCAGACCCTCCAGCAGGTTTTCAGAGGCAGTTAATCACATGGGAAGAGATTACCCATCCTTCTTTTGCAGAGAAGCTAGTGGATTCAGACTGCATGCCTTCAGGATTGCAGTGCAGCTTCTTGTCACTATATATTATCCTAATTCACTTGTTGTTTGTTGTAGCCATTTCAATTATACCTCTAATTTATTTTACCCTTTCATCTTGTCTTTATCTGCACAAAACCCAACCAAAACAAAACGTCAAGTGCAATATATAGAGTACATTGTGTTAAGATTCTTTTGCCCCAAGATGTGGGAAACTATGTGATTATCTGTTTGATTCTGTCCTCAAACAGATTGAAAGACAAGAAGGAGCTAATTTTGAACGTTACTTCTTGTACCTTGCCTGAGAGAGGCCTTTGAGGAAGCATGACACTCTCTAAAATACTGGATTTGGTTCAAGATGCATGTTTGGGATCCACGCATTTAAACAAGTCCCAGGGTTAAGAGTTAAAGTTAAGTTAAGGTTAAGTGCTGGTTCCTTTTCCATATGCTATGAGAAAGACAATCTTCTTCTACCTGTTTGCTCCATCTTCCTTAGCATGTGACTTCTGTACATAGGCCTAGGGACACACTGTCAGCAACATTCACACCCATATTCCACAGCAAATGATGGAGGATAAATGGCGATCTTGCTGACCAATCACACACCCTGTTGAAAACAATTTTCTTGGATAATCTGCCTAATAATTTATATCATTCACACACACAAAAAAAAAAACCACCCAAGCATTACCCTTAAGTCAGAACCACCTCCTACTGGAGCCTGCATTAGCTCCCTGAGTCTGCAAGTCAAGCAGGAGAAGATCACACATCATTCTCTCTTAGACTCATTGGTAGATAGCAACTGCCTTTGTATTAGGGGTGAACTCCCTATGGACTATGCCATCAGAAGTCTGATGTACACCTTTAGCCATAATGTGTTCATGTGGCTTCTTCATCCCCAAGGAAATTCCAGGTAGCACTCTCTTTTTTTTTCTATAATTATATTTTATTAATTTTCATAAACATTTACAGAGATTTTGGGCTTCCACTCATTCATTGTTGCACTATTCTCTCTACCCTCCTCCCAGTTTGTTCTTGTCCAAATGCCACAGTGCTTGTCAAAGCCAGTTCTGATTAATCTTCTTTGTCAGTGTGTCCTTTGCCATTCCCTATCACTCCTCCCTGAGAGAGACTTCACCCTGAGTCATAAGGTAGCACTCTCTTTAGCTAGACACATTGCTACAAGATCAAGTCTCCATGTGTAAGAAAGACAGGGAGGTTGGAGATTGGTAAGAAGTGAGCAGTCTCTCCCAGCATGCATAAGGACAATTTCCTAAATAAGACACACATCTCATTCCATTGCTGAGCTGCAAATATGTAAGAATAACTTCTCTAGTGTATTTTATTTCCCAGTTCAGAAAGAATAGTTTCTCAGAAAAAACTGGGGGAGGGGGGGAAGTTACAGATAACACAAACTGTTATCATTTTTTTTATTTTAATCTTGGTATGTGATGAAATGAAAATCTTTTATTTTAATCATCTTGCCTAGTATTATAAATAGTGTATGAACAGCATCTGGAACAGTTTTTACCACATTATTAGGAATTTTAAAAGAGATTTTTTGTTTGTTTATTCTAAATAGTATTGAATATGTGGTGAAAGTTTATCCAGCTGATTAGATTCCAATGTAATACTTTTTACATGACTTTTTTCATGGCATTGCTTACATATTTCACCTGTCAGTGGTCTCATTTTCACCAATCTATTTGTCCTGTCTGTTAATCTAGTCACCTTGTTCCTCCTTACCTCCCGTCTCTGCTTCTCGGTAAATGTTGTTGATTTAATATGTTGTTGTTGTAGATTGTCAAGACAGAACCAACCCATAGCGAACCTTCCAATGGTTTTCAGAGACAATAAAACATACGACACGGCCCATCTTTTTCGTTTGGAGCAGCTGGAGCCTTTGAACCGAAACCTTTGGGTTGGCAGCACAGTTCCTTACCACTATAGTTGGTTATTGAAGCTCAATATAGCAAAGATTCT